CGGCGCAAAGGATAACCCTTTTTTATTTTACAAAGAAATGTATAATGCTAAGAAGAATATTCTATAGATTAATAAAACTGCTGAACAAATCCTAGGCATTTTCTCATTTGATCGGTATCTGAGGAAACTTATACCGGACTGTACATTTTTACCCTGATTCAACTTAAAACTTTACAAATAGTAATTAAACAACTGAGTTGTTGATGTTTGTGCAGCAATAACAGCAATCCTTGGAATATTTTGCTTTTAAATATACCAGGATTCAGTTAAATGAAATAGAGCATGCCCTTGCGCCGAAGCATTTTTGTTGATGTCCTTCATAATCTTGCGTAGTAGAGAACAATGACGTCATGAAATGACGTCATAATGTGTACTGGCTATCTCATGTCGTGGGTGCCAAGAATGTATTAGAAAATAAGTTTTAACTTTTTTCTGTTCAATAGATATAGTTCTTAGGCATTTTTATTAGTTTATTTGTATTGAAATGCCTACACCTAGCCTTTACTCGTTTGCGTAGTAAAATATCAAGATATGAAACAGATATATCAGACTCTGTGGTAATTTTTATTTCAAGCTCACTGGGATATATCATGTCGACATATAATGGAAATAACTATTGTTAATTTATAATACGTCGTCGATATATCTAAATGTCAAGTTGAATGCCACAGCAAGTGTTTTCTTCTTCTGGTGTATAAGATTTTGAATAAATTCTGTTTCAAATGAATACAAAAATAAGTCTGCTTATAACGGGGTGCAATTGGTACCCTTGGAATTTCAAACAGATTGTTGAAAGACCTGATCACCAAAAACCAGATAGGTATTGTCAATCTGAAACTCAAGCATCTTTTTAATATCAGCTTCAGAGTACTTGAGTGTACAATCAGAATGTTTTAAACAAAATAATTTTTGCAAATGACCAATGACAAGGTAAGTAAATTTACGAGTTCCATTTTTATTGAAAAAACAACTATGATGTCAAAAAGCTTGACTTTAATCAATCTTGGGAAATGGTTGTATATAGAGTTGAAAAGTCGTAAGTTTTGATGTTACTGATTTTGGTAAAATTTTGTGATTTTAAATTTTTCGAAAATTCCCTGGAATTTTTAAGAATCCACACCTGATTTACACTTCTCAAATATATTGTTGTACGGTACTTATAAAATTTCTCCTTCACTGCTGTTAATACTTTAGTGAGGAGTAAAGAAAGAGGCTTGGTAGAAAATTCCAGAATCTAATATAGATATAGCAATTCAAATTCATTTTGGTTGTAATGAATATTAAAATATTTAAAACTGAAATATGATTTTGAAGAATTTCCTCATTAGAAGGGGGGGGGGCACTGGGTATAAGTTGGATTACCACTTGTAAAATTAAATCCCAGAGCCTCTAAAATACAATTCAAAGAATGAGTCTTACAAACAAAAACAATGTTGTTACCTGTTTTTATCAGCTGAGACCAGTACAAACTGATCGTTTAATCCCTCTAATTCTTTTTTTAACTTTTGAATTATTAAACACAAATGGATAGATTGTTTTCATATTGACCCTCAGTCGGTTAATGCGAAACTATAACATACATTTGATACACGTTATTTATTCAGACAAAGTGGCAAAGTCTTCTTTTTCATATTTGGCGTAATCTTTCACAGAATTCATAATACATATTAAATTATAAGGCCACCTGCAAGATCGGGGTTCCCTAAACGTTGGTCCTTTCAAAATAAGTTATTTAAGGTCCTCGTTATTAACTATATTTACGTCATAAGTATGAACGTGTCCAGGAGGACTATAGTTGTAGGGTGAAGAAGAACATGAAGACGATGTCTGAAATTAACAGTCTTAATTTTTTTTTATCCTACTCTAGAACCTATTTTCCAAAGGGGGGGGGGGGGGTCTCATTCTTAAGCCAATGTATACAAACGCAAGCTATAAATTAAATACATGTAGTTGAAAAAAGCAGCGAGAAGAAATATTAATTATTTGATATTAATTGTTTCAATTTTTTTGTCATGAAATTCCTGCTTCTACGTCTTTGCAAAATTATCCAATTTTTTTCTACAAAGCTCTTCCCATAATATTAGTAGAAATCATGTAAATTTCTTATATATTTTATGAAAATGTAAAAATCATGCAGCAAATTACATCGAGTTTACATTACATGCAATACTGTTTTAAAACTACTTAGGCAAACTTGATCAAAAATACAATGAATATACTGAAAATCCTAAGGAACATTATGTCAAATTTTCAGTTCATATTTTCTAGTAAGATTTTTAAGGGATAAAAAAGCATCTACATCAAGAGCCCTCTCTACTTCAGTTTTGATTCTGTTGTATGTTCATTCAGATAGAGTTATCTGCCCCTAGATCTTAAATAAAAAAATGATTAATTGTTTGTATATTGTTTTATGTCCCATTGGAGAATTTTTCACTCATATATAGACGTCACCATTAATCGTTGAAAGGCTTCAAATTTAGACCTATACTCGGTACTCAGGGCAATTGAGCAGTGAGGGTTCTTTATCGTGCGAAAGCTTAGCATGACACGGGGTCTCGAGCTCAGGTTGTAATCAAGTATTTTTTTGTTACATTTTAATAGTTCAAGATAAGTTAATAGAATTTTTTCCGGAAAGTAAATGCCAGGTACACTATGTTGAAATGAAATACGCTCAAAATTTATATTTTTTCTACAATATATTTTTCTCAAGGTAAAGAAATGCTTTGGTGTATAGAGAGTCCTAAAAACTTTAAAAGTAAATACCATTCATCTTGTCAATTGAGTCTTTTTCAACAAACCATAAATTAAACACCTTTTTAAAATAGTTACTCACCAGAAATGAATTATGCAATGTCACTATAAGAACCTTTATGTAATTATTTATTCTTATTAACTAACAGCATAATCATATGCAAATAACATAGAACAATCCGCTTTTAATCATTTTCATATACAGAAAATCCTCTTTTTTGGATTACAATTCATCAAATAATAAGTAATTACCTGATGCTTAGGGGAGAAACTCTATCAGTTTGAAAATGAATTCAAAGTTGTCAATCAAAGAGACATTTGTATTTATATTTAAAATTCAAATGAGGACAACTTCTAAATCTTTAATTAAAAAGTAATTACATTTTTACGTCAAAAATGTCCATGGGTCATCAGCTGATTTACAATGGCCATTCTTGTTTTTTACCAGCAGATTCTTTTTTCTATACATTCCTATGTAAATCTTTGATCACCCATCAAAACCCAATTCTACCATTTGGGGGTCATTATTTGACCAGACTAGTATCAACACGAGGATGATTTCAGATACGAATGACAAATCATGACTTTCCTGTTCTTGAATAGAAGATTTGTAAAGAATTTACTATGTATTCCTATTTAAATCTTTGGTCGCTATCGTGACCCCATTCTACTACCAGGATCATAATTTTAACAAACTTGAATATACACTACCTGTGCATAAATCCGTATTAAATGGATTAGCATGGTTTTGTTGTTCTTGAGAACAAATTTTTTCCTATATTTTCGTATGATTTCTTATTTGAAACTCTGATTGACTACTGTGGCCCACCCCTACCCCCGGGGCCATGTTTTAACAAACTTAAATATCATTAACCGTGTACTGATTGTTTGCTATTCTTGAGAAAAAAAAGATTTTTTTAATTTTTTCCCCCTATGTTTTCTTTTGTAAACCTTTGATTGGCAATTTCGGCCCCACCCTACCATTGAGGAGTGGGTTCATAATTTGAATGAACTTGAATCTACACTTACTGTGGATGCTCCCATATAAGTTGCCTGATCTTGACTTTGCTGCTCTTGAGAAGATTTTCCTATGCACTCCTATTTAAAAGTTTGATTTCCCATTGGAGCCCCACCCTACCCCCTGGGGTCATGATTTGAACAAACTTGGATCTACACTACCTATGACTGCTTCCATATTAATATGATTGAACATGGCTTTGTTGTTCGTTGGATTTGTAAAGATTTTTCCTATATATGTACCCATATAAATCTTTGATCATCCATAGTGGCCCAACCCAAACCCGAGGGTCTCGATTTTAAGAAACTTGAATCTACACTATGTCCGAAAGCTTTCACGTACATTTTTCTTCTTGGTTCAGCCGTTCTAGACAGATTTTTTCAAATGACCCCATTCATTTTTTTTCTTTTTCTTTCAACCTTTTAATAATTGATTTTCATAATGTATATTTATTATTCCCCTTGAAGTGAAAGTAATTTTCCTGAAAATGCCATTAAATTTGGTCTACTGTTTCTTTGCAAGTATGTTTTTACTTCATCAATAGTGTTTTCTTATTGATAAAGGGCAATAACGGTTTTGACATTGCAGTGAAAATACAAACCTCGCGTAAGGAGGTTATGTAACTTTTCTGAAAGACTGCAACCCTTACCTCATGAAACAAAGCAAACAAATAATTTGTATGTGTTTAACTATATATGTTTTTAATAAGATCTATTTATATATATGTGAAGTCGGTAAATGTCCGTAAAATTATGAAAAATTAATAAGGTATTATCGATCTGTACGATACATTGATGTGAGAGCCTTGAAATGTTTGACCTTTAACACTTAGGCTTTTAAAAACTTGGAGGTAAATGATGTTCTTTGCATCAGCAATCTAGCTTTAATAAAATATTTGAATAAAAAGAAAAGAAAACTAATAGTGTCCACAAGTTTGTTAATTAGGCTAAATTAACCCAGGAATTGATGTAAACATTTATTTACATGAAATATGGATTGATGAATTGAACATCTATAATATAGTTTTTCTATTAAGAATTGTTATTTATTCAGCTCATGTATTGAATATACTCACAAATATACTTATGGTTAAATATAATTAAACACATGCGGTCTACTCAAACATTGTACATTTCAACGTTGCTTAAACAAAAATGGATAACATCCACACTATTGTACAATCATAGCACTCTGTAATCCAGGAATCATTGTAAATGAAACAAAGAATCTCTTACTTTTTTAAAAAAAATTTTAATAAATATTTTTGGGAAAAAAGATTTTATTGATAAGAATGATTAAAATGTATTTTACTGTATTTTATTTCATTACTTATGACTGTGTCCATGCCCATGCCCATGACCATGATCTGAAAAAGAGGAAGAAATTTATCTTATGAATGAAAGAAAAGGAATTAGTAATGGTAACTCCTTTCTGCATAGATAATGAAGTGTACACTCCTGGATCTTTTCAGCTTCTATTCCTGCCACTTAACTACTATTTTGGAAGAATTCATGTATTACGCCTGTATTATTTCAAAATCGTAAGAATGTAAGCAAGGCAAATATTAAAAAAAAATATACACGAAAACTTCCTTTTAAGTTCTTAGTAAATCTGCCTAACATTCACATTCAAATTTACTTGTTAATAAAAGAAAATGATAGGCTAGGATAATACCTGGACGACTCGGGAGATCCGGAATACGTGGGATATCTGGAATACGTGGAATATTACCGATATTACCGGGAATACGGATACATGGGCGAGGGTTACATACAGCATTTCCATCTCTCCCGCATGTACACTGTTGGCAACCATCAGGGGACGTAAAAGTTTGTCTTGGACCATAATGATTCCCCTCGTAGGTACAATACAGTTGTCCTAAATTAATGAAAGTTTGCGTATACTAAGAAGGAAAATCGTACTGAATATCAATGCAGATTTGTATATTGCCAGTAAATTACAAACTTGGATTTTTGTATGTATTTTTATCTTGTATCTAAGAGTACTATGTACATTTTTACTATTAGATTATTATTATCTTATTTTATTTTCAAATAAAATTTCAAGATATGCATTGAAATCACTTCAGCATTTAGCAGTACTTGTATGCCAGTAATAACGTTTTCTTTCTTTGTAAAGCAATTGTTACCCGGTGGATGAGAACCATGCCCATGATCAGCTGGGCCGTGACAGGGACTGTCGGAAGTACATCTGATTCTTCCATTACGTTCACACCAGCATTCATTGCATCCATCTTCTCCTACAAATCTCTGTCCCGGGGTATACTGTCTGCCCAATGGCACGTAAGTACAGAATGAAGAAGCTGTATAAATTTATTACCAAAGATCATTAATTTATTTAGCAAGCATTTTCGAGTTTATCATATAATAAAACCTAATATTTTCATAAGTTATTTGGACTTCCGTGACATTTTTCTCATATCTATTTCTTTTATAAGCAAGACTTTACATTTGCTTATGTGCATTCGAAAGACTTTTAATAGAAAATACCAATCAAGTTTTTTTGGTGTTAATATGATGTTTTAAAGACAATGTTTACAATAAAATGCATTATTATATTGAAATACATGTATATATAGAAAAAAATATGTTCTGAGAGAGAATGCAAATTGCAAAATTATGAATATATGTATTTAATTGCTTGGAAGTACCTTTGTACCATGCATCACGGAGGGAACCAATACTTGAAAAGTAATACTATAACCTATACTTGAAAAGAAAAACTATCACATACGATTGAATTGCGTCATTAACATCAGAGGAAAACATGAGAATTAAAATTACTTACAAGGAGGAAGCGGAAGGGGGTTATTGCCTCCACACCGAGCTATACCAGACCGTTGACAAATACAACGATCTCCTTGAATGTTTGTAAAGACCTGTCCTGGCTGATAAGTTCTGCCGTCGGCCACGCATTCCAGGACGGGATTTGGTGGGATACCGCCTGGAATACCTCCCGGAATACCTGATACTGAAATGGACAGACATCATATTCAGAAAAGCTTCATATAAACGTGTATGTATTAAACATGCAATGATCAAGACTTAGAATGACGAAAAGTGTTAACTTAACCTGGTGATTATTAATTTTTGAAAAATTTTATGCAAGACTCCTATTTTGTAAAAAAAAAAAAAATATCTGTATTGGTGATCGAAATCTTTAATTAGATATAACTACATTACAGACCTATTTATGTATGTTTTTTCTTAATATTAATCATAAAGCACAGGAAAGAATGTTAAGAATATGTTAGTGATAAAGGCTTTACATGCCTATATAAATGTACGTACCTGGGCAACACACTGATGACGTATAAGCAGTCCCAACACAAGCATAACCAACTGGGCACCGGAAATCCCCGCCAAGGCACGCAGGAGCATCACCCCTTACATTATAAGGATTTCCCGTTCTACATGGGTTATCCTCTGTTTCAATAAAGGACATAATTAAATTTCAAATTCTGAAACAAATTGGTGACGTATCAAATTTAAAAGGTGCAGACATTTTTTTTTTTAACTTTGAATTATGTTTACAAATTTCTTTCATTGGTGAAATTAAGATACAGGAGGGAAAGGATCTTCTTGCAATATAAAAAATATTCCTGAATGTGGAAACAGAGATTAAAAAAAATTAATAACAACTTTACATCTTAACTTTATTCGATGCAATTCAAGGAAGTATATTTGTATATACCTTGTAAGCAAGCTGTATACTATAATTTAAATTGTGAGGGAAAATGTCTATCAGTAAGAAAAGAAGAATTAAAAACATCAACATATAATTACCACTTACTTTTACAACAGAATCCATTTTGTGTTTCTGTGTCTCCATTACAGAAGAAGTCGTGTTCAGGACAGGAAACACCCAGAAGGTTACAGTTTGGTTGATTCCCCACGTCTTTGTAGTATTTACCAAAACGACATCTTAAAGAGGGTAAAGCATTTGGTTCGTCTTGAAATTGATGAAAACAAACTAATGTACTTTCCTGGACAAATAATAATTGCTTATAATCATTCACACTGCATTGCTTGCGATAAATGAGATTAAGCTAATGAAATGTTTAATGAGCATCTTTAATTTTCATTGTAGACTGATATTTCTTGTCTGAATTCAGAATGAAATGAATGTCAAGAATTGAAATGTATACTTACAGGGAACGCCTTGACTAAACGCCACTAATACAAAACACACAATAATTTTCATTCTACTCTTCCCTTCTGCTTCCTTGAATACTTAAACTTTGATGTAGACTGAAATTTTGTTACGAAGGACAAATTCAATATACACGGAAAGGTCAACGTAATTGGCTGAGGGTTGTGTGTAAAACTGATTTAATTTGAATATTAAGTGTATCTACACAGAAGATTCTGAAGCAATTAATTCAAACCGCAGGGGCGATTTACATGGAAATGTATGGTAAATGTGATGTCATTTCGTTGAATTTCCTTAAAGAAAAATTGAAACATATTTCAATGACATAAATTCAATAAAAATCGGTATTTAATTTTCCTACTTTTGAGTTGGAGAAAGATTCAAAGTAAATTCAAACATTTTTTTCATGGATTAACTTATGGACATGTGCACCAGAAATATATACAAGAATTATTAGAATCATTACATATACTATAGAATGTTTGTACCAATTCAAGTTTGTTCTGAGTCTTTTAACCTTTTACTGATTTAAAGGAACAATTCTTAGAATATGTTTTGAACATTTTATTCATTTTAACAAAAAAATATGCTATTCTTCTCTCGCATTTGACCTTATGTGGTGCATCGACTTACAATAATCTGTATCAAGGCCGAATATTAGGAGGTATTTAATCCTGATTCGAAACAAAAACAGTTACTTTAATTGGTACTAAACGATTAACCATCACAATTTCCACTGCTTATGAAATATAATCTTCGTCAAGAGAGAAATATTAGTCACTCCACTTTTGAATAGGGTGCAGCAACCCCAAAATACCTCTAATTGGATCATATTAGGTAACGCATTGCTATTTTTTTTTTTAAATGTTCTTAAAGTATATAACAGAATAGATAACCCACTACCAATTTTTAAATATCTGCCACTCAAAAACCTTCTTGTAACACGAAATGTGATGAGGATCTTAATCATTTGCCTGTGTATTTCTTCAATTTTCCTATAAATTCACCATTTTTTAAAAATTACTGAAAGAAGTATTTCCATCAGATGTACAAATTAAAATCAAGGTCAGGTAAAATCCTTAACGTGCATATAGTGACTCAGAGTCAGAGTGTTGTCAATCTTATCCTAATAGCATTTTGATTTTATTAAGTTTATCATTGAAAGCCCGTAGTCTTTCTATGAAATATTTATGGAAATAAATTTACAAATGTCATCTTCAAAAATGTTGAGTAATTGCACTTTTGTTCACAAAACACGCACAATTTAACATGATATATGTGCATTCACTTTTTTTATAAGCTTAGTTATTTTCAGTGTCACTGAAGAACATATTTCTTTCTTATTTTCTAAATTACGTCATATTTATCAGTCCCTTTAATATTAATACATGTATGCAACAGAAAGGAAAAAGAACGGTTCAGTTAGACAACATTGAACATTAAGTTCATTCATATAAGATCATCTGACGGTAAAATTAGCTTTGCTTCATATTTACTATGTAGTCAGAACTTAGGGTTAACATTAACTCTAATGTACCTTCTACATGTACTTATGATTTCAGTATTATTTTTTATTTAAAAAATAGCAATTAAAATGAAGGAATAGTAGTTTTGAATTTCTCATGTCTTATTGACAAAATAGGTAAGTACATAAAATTATAACGAATCTATGTTTTTTAAAAAACTTGTATAAAAGCCCATTTAGGTTCTTTCAAATCTTCAATGTAATGTGTAACGATAAAACGTAATTTCATGAAACAAATTAAAAATAACAATTATATCAAGTTCTTTGTACAAGTTTTTATTCTCAATAAAAATAATTAATTAAAAAAAACATACAATACAAAAAAAGTAAAATACAAACTTCTAAAAAAAATATGAATATAAAATCACAGTAATCCTTAATATCAGCGTTTAAAAACACATCAATGGCAAATCAGACGAGTTTTGGTTTACCCTGAAAGAGAAAACAGTATTGATAAGATATACTTGTTTCAGTTGACATAACTGGTAAAACAAGAAAAGACACTTTGAAGAATGAAAGATAGATTTATTAAGCGATTATGAGGGGAGGAAAGTACATATGTAATTACCAAAAAACCTAAACAAGACCAAAATGTTGATATTATACAGGTCATCAATACAACTTTGAAACGGAAATTTTTGAATTGAAAAAAAAAACTCTGTGTATGCATTGATTTATGTTTGTTAAACCATGAATGATAATAGAATTGCAAGTCTAAGAAGTTTTTATTTGTCTTACCTGGATAGGATTGACAAGATTTATTACCACATGACACCTTGCGGTTTGCTAGACAGGTGCACTGATTACAACCATCTTTGGATGGGAAGGTCTCTCCCGCAGAATACTTCACGTAGTTATACATACAGTACACTGTGAATAGATAATATTTTTGCTTTGATACATTGAATATTTTCAATTAAGACATCGGTAACCAATTAGTTTGGAGGGAAAATGGAAATAAATGTAAATAACCATTATAAAAAAAAGTAGTGAAACTGGTTTTTTTGTTTGTTTTTTTTTGTTTTTGTTTTTTTTTTTTTTTTTTTTTTTTTGTTTTTTTTGTTTTTTTTGTTTTTTTTTTTTTTTTTTGGTTAAAGATTTTATCAATTTCGTTAATGAGCAGCACAATTTTTGTAAGAATTTGAAATTGGAAAGATTTTAAAAAAGGGCAGATGCTATCTTGATTGTAAAGAAACATTTATTTGGCAAGAAATGGGTATTATACCACACCTTTTGTTGGATAAGTGTTGCATGCTTTTTTCCCGCAACTAACTTGCCCATTCTGCTGACACGTGCACTGATTACATCCATCAGTTGCTGGGAACGTCTCACCAGAAGAGTATTTTTGACCATTGTAGTAACAGTACACTGTTAAAAATAAAATTGAAATTTTGTCTCTCAGTTTAATCTACTTTGCATATAATTTACCATCAACATATGTAAAATGAGGTTACAGTATTAGTGTACCTTTGCAGAGAATTTATATTTGCAAATATAATGATAGTATTAAAATACATCGTTTATTTACTATCCACATATTGAATTTCTATTCAATCGAATCGTAATTTACAGAAAAGGACCCCAATACTTCGCTCCGCTTTCTTGTATCTAATATTTAGTTCTACAAACATAAAAGTTCATATCTTTTTACTGATATATTCTTAGCAAGTATTTTACACACGTGAATGTTATAGGTTTTTCAGCTTACCAGGGCAATATTCATCTGTGCACGCAACATCTCCAGTTTTCGTACAAGTACATGATTGACATCCATCTTTAAATTTTTGACCAATGTTGTACTTGATTTTCTTGTATGTACAATCTGTATCCAAAAATACATAAATATATATACAGTATAAATATATAAAATCATAATGATTATCTTTCGGTCGTTTGCTTAAAAACGTGTGAAAATAAATAAACTTTCAACATACAGCAAGGATCATTGGTACAAGACACTGTTCCATCCTCCAGACATGTGCAAAAATTACATCCATCGCCTTTGGGGAATTTGGGTCCTCCGTATGTGTATGAATTGCCTCCATATTGACAAGGTACTAAAAATAATTTACTTACTTAAATAAATATTAGTTTTTATAAATATTTGAAGTTTCTTCCATGCATATTGTAATTTTCTGCATTATTGATAATTTATAGAAGTAGTTAGTCATTATGTTAAAATTTGTTCATTACATTGCTACATTATATTGCCATTCATTATACTAATTTTATTTATAAAGAATGTTTAGTTTATATTTACCTGGACAATATTTATCTGTACATGTCACATCTCCGGTCTTAGTGCAGATACATTTTTTGCAACCATCATCAAACTTTTGCCCGATTTTGTATTTGATATTTTTATATTTGCAATCTGTATTTTAAAAAAAAAATATGTTACAACTATAAATACAGACATATGTAAAGGAAATGGCAAAACTTATACGACCAATAAGAAATCTCATGAATTTTGTTAAGAAAATGAATCAGCAAAGAAAACATGAACCCCTTGAGTCACCAGATTAATCTTTACGTAATACATATTTATTTATTCTACAGGTAATGCAAAATTTGTTAAAGCTTCAACATACAGCAAGGATCACTGGTACAAGAGACTGTTCCATCCTTTAGACATGTACAAACATTACATCCATCTCCTTTAGGGAACTTTGGTTCTCCGTATGTATATGTCTGACCTCCATAATGACAAGGTACTGAAAACATCAGATATATTAGGATTATATAAATTTGTCGGAGTTTTTGCTTCATAGATAAAAAAGTGTAAATAAGTTGCTCTAAACTTGTATCTTATTCAAAATCTTATCTAACATATGCTTCCTTTATCATAAACCCTTCAAACATTCCTTTCTTATATGATTAAAATTTTACTTAGACAATTAGTAACATAACGTTATGATTTATCTATATTTGTTAGTACTATAACGTGTGTTGCTAATAAATTACCTGGGCAATATTTATCTGTACATGTCACTTCTCCAGTCTTTGTGCAAACACATTTTTTGCAACCATCGTCAAACTTTTGTCCGATTGCGTACTTGATATTCTTATATTTGCAATCTGTGAATTGAAAAACATAACTATTGCTCTTTGTATAGTTTCAATTGCTTCATTAATACTGACACTAGTAACTATAAACAGTGAAAATTTTTAAGATGTCATGTGCTTATTCTGTAATTATTCTGAAGAAAAAAAACTTTCACATACAGCAAGGGTCATTGGTACAGGACACTGTTCCATCCTTCAGACATGTGCAAACATTACATCCATCGCCTTTAGGGAACTTTGGATCTCCGTATGTATATGAATGTCCTCCATAATGACAAGGTACTAAAAGATAAGAATGATATTTTCACAGATCTATTGCTATTTATCATGGATAAACAAGTGTAAATAAGTTTATTTGAACTTGTTTTTGCTCAAGATCTTATCTAGCATATGCTTCGTTTATTATGAGCCCTTCAAGCATTCTTTTCTTTTATACTGAATTTTTGCTGATTTTTGTGATTTTCTTAAATTATATTTGCAGTTAAAATAAAACATACCAGGACAATACTTATCCGTGCATGTGACTTCTCCTGTTTTCGTACAAGTACATTTTTTACACCCATCATTAAACTCTTGGCCAATGTTGTACTTGGAGTTTTTATACTTGCAATCTGTATCAAAAATTAAGATGATAATTTCAACCTTTATATAATTAATTTAGCTTTCCAAATCTTTGAACTTTCACTTTACTAAAATCACAAATTAGCGTGTGGTCAAATTTTTGTGGTTTGAGGGGAAAATATTGGCTCATTTGGATTTATTTTTTTTAGTTGAATAAGTCCTGATTTATTTTATATATATATATATATATATATATATATATATATATATATATATATATATATATATATATATATATATATATATATATATGAGTTTACATTAAGTGAAGGATATTAATTCAATGGTCTCTTCATACCTCAAAAACAACGAAAATTAAATCCCCACGAAAATTTGTGATTTCACAGTTCATACTAAAGATACCAGTACTGAAAAATTATACGATGACATGTACGTATAATTTAATCAAAATCTGGTCTGGTGTTGATAAAATTTATGCATAAATGAAAAAAAAAAGAAAGTGTAAGATTCAACATACAACAAGGATTATTGGTACAAGACACTGTTCCATCTTTCAGACATGTGCAAACATTACATCCATCGCCTTTTGGGAACTTGGGTCCTCCGTATGTATATGTCTGACCTCCATAATGGCATGGCACTAAAATGAAAAAGAAACACGAATATGTTACATGCAATCTATTAATAAAGAAAATAATAACTTACATGCTTAAAGTTGTAATACTTTTTAGGCAATCTTGTGATATATATTTTTTGTTAATTTTCCGTAAGTTATAAATGATACACCGAGTAGGTCAATTTGCTATAATTTTTAGTTCATGTTTAGTAAAACAACGATGTAATTTATCTTTATGTAAGAAATATAAAATGTGTTATTTTTCAATTACCTGGGCAATATTTATCTGTACATGTCACGTCTCCAGTCTTGGTACAAACACATTTTTTGCAGCCATCGTCAAATTTTTGTCCAATTGCGTACTTGATATTCTTGTATTTGCAATCTATCGAGGGAAAACACAACCATTGCTTTCCATATTATTTTCAAATTTAAATAAATATCTATGAATACTGAGAAAAATATTTGATATCTACTTGTACATGTAATTATTCTTTAGTCAAGTCAAATTTTGTATGAAAAAAAAGCTTAAACATACAGCAAGGATCATTGGTGCAAGAAACTGTTCCATCCTTTAGACATGTGCAAACATTACATCCATCGCCTTTGGGGAACTCTGGCTCTCCGTAATTATATGATTTGCCTCCATAATGACAAGGCACTAAAGAACGAGAGTCAGAATTAGAATTTTTTCTAGAGAATAAATGCTAAAAAATTCATTCGATTAGATTTCTCTTATGCTTAGTATCTAAATGGTTTACTGTTATTATACCTCCTAAAATATTAATGAAAACTAAAATAGAATATGTATTTTTTTTTCTAATTTGCAATGAAAATCAACATTTACCAGGGCAGTATTTATCGGAACAGGTTACTTCTCCAGTTGTAGTACAAGTACATGTCTTGCAACCATCTTTGAACTGTTGTCCGATTTGGTACTTTACGTTCTTAAATTTGCAATCTGTGAAAGAAAAGGAAAGCAATCTATATTTTTTTTCATGGAGCAGAACAGTTAAAATGCACATGTATATATTGTACCAATTTGGATTACTTCAAAATATAGCCAGGTTGATATTGTGCCATTTAGTCAAATGAATGTTCTCTGAAAGTTATGAAAAAGAAGCTGAAATACTGAAATTTTAATCCCTCATTAATGAACTGAATAACATAGTTTTATTCCTTGGAAATATTACATATATATCATAAGCATGTAATTGTCGATTGCTTAAAAGTTATGAAATGTTTTAACATACAGCAAGGATCATTGGTACAAGACACTGTTCCATCCTTCAGACATGTGCAAACATTACATCCATCGCCTTTGGGAAACTTTGGTTCACCGTATGTATACGTTCGGCCTCCATAATTGCAAGGTACTAAATATATGAAAATAAGCTGTCATTATTTTTATATAAATGATTAACTTAAATAAATCTTGAAAGTTTGATCAAAATACTAAGATTTATTTCAAGAGTTGCAAAATAGTTTCAAATAAAGTTCGCCCACTTACAATATGCAATTAAAAACAAACTGATTTACAAGTTTAATAGAAAATTTTGCCAGCTTCTTATTATTTTTGTTAGTTGTTTTTGAGATATTAACTTTTAAACGGGACAAAAACACTACAATGCCTAGTTAAGATATTTTTACATTACTGTGAAACCAGTATTTTTTGCGAGAGTTTAATTTTCGTTGTTTTCTAGATATAAGTAGACCCACGAATTCATGTCCACCCCGAAATATGAATAATCCTTCATCTACGAACTCTAATCCCAACAAACCCACATTTTTTTCCTCAAACAACTAAAATTTGACTCCATGAATAAATATGATTTTACAGTACTTTAAACAACAATACAGATACTTACATTTCTTTAAACAAGTCACTTGTCCATTAGATCCACAGGTGCAATGTTCACCAAATTTATTGTAAAATTTTTCAGATGGAAAATAAGTTTTTCCTTCATATGTACAACCTAGAAGATCAAAATCATAATGTTATAAACACGGTAAGATTTTTATGTGGAGATCAACGTGGTGATTTTTTATATAAAAAAAAATTAACTTAAATAAAACATTTTTGGCAAGGTAATGTAAATTATATACTTCGAATTTTGTTATTATTATTAATGGGGGGGGGGGGGGAAATTACCATAAAGGACGATCCATTTTCGGTTTTTAAAATTGATTAAAGTAATAGTTTTTTTTAATATTTTAATAATGTTTTAAAATATATTGTACCTTTACAGCACACGGAGGATGTTTCCTTTGTCCCGACGCATGCGTACCCATTAGGACAGCGGGTCAGTCCATTATTCTTCAAACAGTTAGGAGCATCCCCGTCTCTTGAATAAGGTTCCCCAACTTTACATGGGTTAACAGCTGTAATAAAGATTTTAAACAATACACTTGATTTTCATCGATTAAGAATCAGTAATACATACAAAATTATCCGGTTTCATCTTTTTTTAGTCCTTACTTTGATGATTACAATCCAAATATTTACTGTAATTTTTTAACCTGTACATGTAACACGTTTGGTATAAAAATGAGAAGTCAGATGTGGTATTAGAACTTTTTAACTAGAACTTGCGTGGACAAAATAATTAAGGAAGAAAAAATTACTGTCGTGAAAAAAAAAGAGCTCTTCTGTTGAAACAGAAGACCTTAATGTTGCTAATACTGACCTTTACAGCAAGGTCCTGGTTGGTCTGCAGGACCTCCTTGACAGTTATATCCCTCAGCACAAGATGGCCTCCATGGATTGCACAGCTGGTCATTGCCGAGATCGGCCTGGTAACGGCCGTACCTACACTTTAAATAGTCAGGTGTCGTGGCACCATAATCTAGAAAAAATATAATATCATACATAAGAACGTTTTATTTGGTGGTTTTTACTTTTAAGTTGAATTTAAGGCAATGCTTTCGGAAATACCACTAAATGTGCAGCTCAGTCAGAGACATTGAATGATGATTGAAATAATTTCAATCATAATGCTCAGATTTGTTTACAGATGAATAAATTGTGAAAAAATTCTTTTATATAATTATATATATATATATATATATATATATATATATATATATATATATATATATATATATATATATATATATATATATATATATATATATATATATATATATATATATCACAAATATTCAAATTGTACACTTTATCTTTCTGTAGATTATATTTCCCAAAATTAAATGTTCCAACTTTTTTCATGAATAAAAACATTTTGAACATAAAAGTTTTAAAACTTGCAAACAAAATAAAATCACTTACATCTCGCCTCTGCATTCAAGGCTACTAGTGCAATAGTAACTGTAATCTTGTAATATAACATGATTTTTCTCTCCGATTGACCCTTCGGAGATTTCTCATCTTATATACCTTGCATATTTCGAAATTATTCAGTTCCGGGAAACGGCAATGATAAACAAATTGATAGATTGAGTAATTTATTGCAAAAAAATAATGACGTATTTACTTCTTAAAGTAAGTGTAAACGCACATGGATTTTTTTTTTGGTGAAAATTACCAATTCAATGGGTTTCCAGTTGACACCGACTTTTGCAGCATAAAGTCTTATATGGGAAATATATTATTATAATTGATATGCATGATCTAAAATTAGACATCGAGATGAATTGATTGATTAGCATTTTCTGATTGCTTATCAATTTTATTACAAGGATATGTCATCATCGTTATAGACAAAAAGCGCATATTTGAATGCAAAGTGGTAATACCTAAATAAATGGCTGTTCCAATTTATTCAAATGAATTTCAAAACAAACTTGAGATGAATGTCAAATGCAAAATGTTATGGAATTCCGATTTTTTGTTTTGATTGCTTGCTCCAATTCATACTGGATTTTTCAAACCTAGTCAGGTGGAAGGTAAGCGGTCATGTGTGTTTGGACTATATTTGGTTAACATTAGTGTATACAAATTATAATTTTAGCATGAGATGTAGATTTTCTTAGGGCACGGCAATTCCCCCCCCCCCCCTCAATTTCTTTCATTTACGATTCGCCATGTTTTATCAATTGAAATTTGATTTTAAGTTAAAAGTATTTCAAAACAAGTCTATCATATATAGAAATACACATAATTTCTGGGTGCTATGTGGGAAAAAATTTAACAATCTAAAGAATATGTTTCTTACCACAGTCAGATTTATCTCTCAAACAAGAGTGTCAATAAACATTATATTTTCTCATTTTTTTCAATGTTTAATATTTCGCTATGTATTATTATTATTAATTTTATTTAGAATTTAATTTTTCCATATATTTTTTTTTCCATTTTCTTATTTGTGGCTTCACATTCTCTTTCAGTTTGCGAAAAATCAGTTTGTTGCAATTCAGTCAATGTAGAACTACATTAGTAAAAATGTCTTCAAATAACTATTGGAAAATGATCGTACAATGTGTTATTTTTTTAATACGAGGCCCTGTTGTAATATCTCTACTAAAGTTCATTTGTTTTATAAATCAGATTAAATTTCTTTAAGAAAACCACTTCTTTTGAAAGAAATTGTTCTAGACTAGTATATATATATATATATATATATATATATATATATATATATATATATATATATATATATATATATATATATATATATGTGTGTGTGTGTGTGTGTGTGTGTGTGTGTGTGTGTGTGTGTGTGTGTGTGTGTGTCATCACATATAACATTCTAAAAATCAAACTCTTTTCTTAAACGATTGTTTAAAAAAAAAAATAAAATAAATGTGTGTTGTTGCTACCCAATGTAAAATTAATGAAATGTCATAGCTGGTTGATTAGAGCATCTTACAGAACCGATTTTTGTATCGCTATTTAGTCCGTAATAATTGATGGTCATCCGGAGCATCTTGTTTTACTCTGGTTGAATTATTTGTAAGAAAAAAATATACTGGTGAAAAAACAAATCATTAGACATTTTTTTTTTTTTTTTTTTTTTTTTTTTGCATTGTTATGGTGTTAGGAGGTTGTTTAGTCTGGACAAGAGTTCTACACATGTACAGCGCTAGACAAAATTTTAGGTATGCTCGCTGCACCGCTTTGACATCAAAATCTATACCGTGCTTTAATGTTTTCATGATCTCTGTATTTCTGATTGAAATTTTAACAAACTTGCACAAAATGAAGTCAAAATAAAATTGAAAAATTATATACATAATTTGAATTATTTTCTATCTTATTATGGGTCCAACGTGAGTTTGAACGTAGGTACGTGTTCCATATTTTCAGTATCTGATTTCGTGACTGCACCGGGTACCCCTACCATTGACACATTAATATATCACTGAAAAGAAGAAATAAAACATTTGTAAAGTATTTCTTGCCATAATTAATTCTAAGTGTTTGTCAAACGTGTATGCCAATTTTCAACAGAAGACGTTCATTAAAAGAAGAATAAACGGAATGTATCAATAATTTCCGAACAGCCCTCATACCGATTTGTATTTGAAAATTAAAATAAGTTAATTGTATACTTATTTTAATTTTCAAATGAAATCAGTAAACGACATCAGTATCAATTGCTAACACATTTGAACGCATTTATATATATTCTATGCTTGTGTTGCAATCTTTATTTGTAGCATGGATGAAGAAAAAAAAATTGATGCAAGCAATTCGCCGCACGAAAAGGCGGTTTTATTATGATGTGTCATTCCATTAAGCATTTTTATGTTTCATTGTTGCCGGAAAGTTTTACACGTATTTTCCCCAGTGATACCTTCATGATGATTAGAAGAAATAGTTTCACTTGTTCGTATACAAAATAAATATATGATCTTTCCCAAACTGAATTTTGAGTTGTGGAATTGTTTCTAGAAACATGGAAGTAGTAAAATCATGAATTTATAAATATCTTATGAAGGTTAAGAGAAAAAAAGAAATATTCTAAAAACAATTCAGACATAATATTTAGCAATTTTCATAATCTTTTATTCATAAATTTGATATATATTTATCATATCAAAAAGGAACTATTTTATCGATCCAATGAAAAATAAGTACATGTCTCATTTCTCCCTGTCCAATTTCTAGCTCAACAACAAAAAAGATTGATCGCTCCTGCAACAGAAAATAACAAATAAAATCACGTCTCCGTCAGCCAATTTTGAATTTGAATTACGGATCCCACCTTGCTTTACATTTGTAATAAGGGAATGAAATGATTGTTAAAAATTATCATTAGTATGTAATTTTTGCTGTCCTTGTTGCACACTAATGAGATGAACAGCGACCGCGACAATTTTCAGGTCTTCAAAATTTGTCAAAATATATATATTAAATTACTGGCAAATGTATACAAACATATATAATCTGAATTGGTCGGAAAAGTCAAGTCCACTATTTTTTTTTTTTCATTCCTTGCGATTTAAACACAGAGCTAGCTCTTATTGATTCCTATAAATTAAATATAAGGGCGATCGGAGAGGAAAATATTTTTACATGTAGTTTATTTATTTTATTTTATTTTTATTTTCTTGTTAGTTTCCTTCACTTTTTCTTTCTCTGTTTTGTTTAGGAAATATGTTGCTATTTGGAATGGTATCTGTCAATTTGTATATATTGATATATTTTTTTAAGAAATGTAAGAAGATTATCAGCCACTTGTATTTATAGTTGATCTTTTCACAAAATTAGAAAGAAAACAATACTTTAAATGAAGGTTTAAAAACGATGTTGAATTTTATATCCCCTAGAGAGAATTTTGTATTATTTTATGTTCTCGTAGTGTTTCAGTCTGATATGTACATCTAATTATAAAAATTAGTTCAGAAATTCTCTTACTATACTACATGATTGTCATTCATTTTTGCACCTGTATGTACTAAAACTTACTCTCAATATCTAAGTCTGTGATATTTCAATAAAAAATTAAGAAGTATAAGGAAGAAATATCAGAATAGAAACATAAGAAAGCAAAACCAGTACCCCCCGTGTTTTCTGTTCGTGTTCAGTGATACTTACAATTCCAGAAAATCAAGTATACCCGGTAAAACGTCACCCTCATTTCAAACGGAGCCCGAGTCAATGTTTACTTTAATAAATGCCGTTGTCAGAAGAAAATTTCATCTTTGTGCAAATCAATGAATTTTAGTTTGTTTGCTTGTTGTTTAACATCCCTCTCGAGAATTTTTCACTTAAATGGAGACGCCACCACTTGCCGGTGGAGAGCTGCAAATTTTGACCAATACTCGGCACTCAGGGCCATTGAACAGTGAGGGATCTTTTTCGTGCCAGCACCTACTGCGAAACGGGACCTCGGTTTATACAGTCTCATCCGAATGACCGGTCTCCACGTCCTACAGTGGGATTCGAACCAGCGACGTAAGGATCAACTCCTTACTCCGCGACTCTAGAGCAAACGCTTTAACCACTGTGCCAAGTGGGCGACATGAACTTTATTTTATTTTTGAAATGAATAGGGACATTCAAAATTGATTGATTGATTGTATGTTGTTTTACGTCCAGTTCGAGAATTTTTCACGCATATAGAGACCTCACGATATACCGTTGAAGGGCTTCAAATTTAGACCTTTACTCGGCACTCAGGGCCATTGAGCAGTGAGGTTTTTTTCATTGTGTTAACGCCTACCGTGACACGGGACCTCGGTTTTTAAAGTCTCAGTCGAAGGACCGCAACTTTCAATTCAAAGTGCCGAGCGCCTGGCGAAGGAATAGTTGCAGCCTATAGCTATTTTTATCGATCAGGTCAGTCGCGGCCGTGATTCGAACACACACTACACTACGCACACTACACAAACTACGATCACAGAGCGAGCTCTACCGACTGAGCTACCTTGGTAGTCCTCAAAAGTGAAATAAACTCCCAACACTGTGACAATACTTGAATTTCGTGATTACTTAACTTGAGGGAACTCTTTTGAATGGTTTGAATTTCAAATATATCATTATATCAATTTACAACTGGGATAAGGAGATTGAAGAGCAGGTAAAAAATAAGTAATTTACAAATAATGCACTTGATAATGTTTGTAGTCAGATCTCAGTAAAATTGTACAAAAACGAAATATATATATATATATATATATATATATATATATATATATATATATATATATATATAATATATATATATATATATATATATATATATATATATATATATATATATATATATATATATATATATATATATATATATATATATATATATATATATATGTACTTCGTAAGGTTTGTTCTATCATTCTATATGCAAAATTATTACTTAATATTTTTTATCGTTGAAAAAAAAAACAAGATTATACATATAAAATACTTAGTCCTCATTGAAAAAGGCAAAATAAGATGACG